TTATCGAGGCATTTGTAGCCTTCATTAATTGAGAATTTGGCTATTATATTTTTGAGGTCTTTATATGTTGGCAAGGAGGACATTTCTTTTGCTGTGTGCATTATCAGACACGATAAAGTCTGCTAATGGTAACAAGCAACATCAGATAGATAAATGAATGAGCAAGCATGCATATTATTTTATGTATTACATCACTAGTGATAATAAAAGCGAGGGAATTGCCTACAGATCCGAGAATGCTATCATAAATAACTGACTATCTACCACATTGAAGTGAAATTGTCCACTTTTCGCAATAACTCTTCAGGCAAATTTCATGATACAAGGTAATAATAGGGCGTTTTAAACAAAACACTGTGACTGGGCATATTTGTGAAAATATTGTTTTTACATTTTTTGGCAAGAACGACTTACAATGTTTTTGGATGTATAGCCACTGTTGACTGAAATGTTCATGGTGATCAGTTCAATTGTGGCCTTCGGCAGCTGGCTGAAGTGTGGCAATGTCTTGTAGTGCTGGTCATTCATGAAACACTGCACAGCTGTCATCCGATTCGTGGTGAGGGTACCGGTTTTGTCCGAGCAGATGGCTGTAGCATTGCCCATTGTCTCGCAGGCATCGAGATGGCGCACCAAGTTGTTGTCCTTAGTGCGGGTTTATTCGTGAAAGGATGAACGAATTGAATGCAAAAAAGCAGAGTAAACGGTTAAGCCTAGCAGTCAATGCGGTCATTGGAGTAGCCTAAAAGGTTGTGATCGTTCGGGGCTATAAAAGGGAGGAGTATACAAAGACGACTTATTAAAAAGTGAGCGGGCCTGCGTAAATGGTGTCGATAGGCAGGATCATGCTCCAAAGACCTATACGGCGCAAGGAGCCACATTATCTTAATCAGATGGCTACTTAATTATGAAAAATGCATTATACACATGGACTTAGGAACCGATGACTGGAGCCAGAAAACTCTCAACTTTCAACTACTGATTTCGATAGAAAATTTAAAAAAATTATTCATAGGAATAAAAATTGGTCTACGTCTAAAAAGTCATTATGTTGGGTGGAAATGACAATAAATTGCGAAAAAATACAAAATGTCAAAGCATTATCGGTAGCAAATGATAAGTAATCACTATGTGTTTGGTAAAATCCCAAGTTTAAGCTAATTCTGATGTCAAAGTATGGACATCGCCAGTCTGACGCCCCGAAATACAATAAATGAACTATTTGCAATATCGTAAGTCACCTGAGCATAAATCTTCTGAGAAAATGAGAAAACCTTTTTGGTAAAATATATTACAAGATGAGAGTAAACATTATGCATAGCTCAACAGTCGGGCCTAACACGCCTGGTGCCCAAGCTCTCTGAATGAATGATTAGAGTAGACCAAGCATGACTACCGCAGTTTTCTGACTGGAGTGAATTTTCAGTGTGTCTAAGGATTTGCTCCCAGATTTACTAGAATATTACATTTTAGGGTAATAAGCTAACTCACTCTTCCTGAGAAAATGTGCGAATTAAGACCCAAAGTCAAGAATATTCAAATACTCTTTGAAAATATCTGGAATGCATTTAGAAAAGTAGTGCAGATCAAAATTAACTTGCTCCAAAGAAGCCAAATGACAAATTATGTTAAAAATATAATATTGTAAATTATAATAAAATATCTTCAACTATAGACGCCATTATGGCCACTTATATAGTGGAAAGATAGGACTAACAGAGTGGTATTATGTTGAGGCTATTTGCAGGTTAAGCTAGCAAAGGATTATTAAAGTCAAGTGCAAAAAC